AAACCTTTTTAAGGAACTTGGCTAAAGTTTGAATGTATCCCCTCCAAAATTCAGGTGTTGCTGCTGTGACAGTATTAAGAGATGGGGATTTTAAGAGGTGATTAGACCATGGGGCCTCTCTCTAAATAATGGGATTAAGACCCTTATAAAAGAGGCTTCATGAAGCATTTGACTAGCTTGCCTTTCCGCCTTTTGCCATGTGAGGACTCAGCAAGAAGGCCCTCACCAGACAACAGATGTCGGTGCCTTGATATTGGATTTCCAGTCTCCAGAATTGTGAGAAATAAAATTCTGTTCTTTATAAATTACTCAGTCTCAGATATTCTGTTAATAGAAGCACAAAATGAACTAAGACCTCTTCCTAATCACACCCAGCACCCTAAACCTGGGCAATGTAAGGCCATCTGTCATTGTGATGCTGGGGTCACACACAACTACAACTCTTAGCTGCCACCTTTCTTTCTTGTTATTATGTTGTACTTATGACAAAAATTAAAAGTTTCAAGGTCTATGACTTCTTTTGAGAAGTGATGAACATTTTAATATTTTTTTCAGTAAAGAAAGTGTAGCACAAGAACTATAATGGTGGTGAAGCATAAATAAAATCATGCCATAGCTGTGGCCAAATTTCAGCTTACAAGAATAGCAATGTAAGGTCCAAATAATCATAATTCTAAAGAGGTAAAAATAGAACCTTTCTTTCTTACCTGCCCCTTCCTACCAAAAAAAAAAAACAAAAAACAAAAAAAAACCCAAAAAACCAGAAAACCAAGAACACTGTAGCGATAGCAGATAGTTCTATTAAAAGCAAAACATATGAACCAGAAGAATTAATAACCACAGTTGGTTTACTAAGTCTTGGAGAACTAGAGCAGAACTCAAGCAGGGGTTCTTATCCTGAGGGTCATAAACTCTGAGAGCCTTTAAAAGAGGTAGTGTTACATCCAAGAAATCCTTGAAATTGTATAAAAAACTTTGTGTGTGCACATGAAGCTTTGAGTAGCTCCTCAAAGGGACCTGAGGTTAGAAAACACCAACAAATTACCAATATTTTGTAAGAAAATTTCTATCCAGTGTATTGATAAAGTCTGTCAGAGGGTGAAATATAATTTGGCATTTAATAAATGCTTTTGCAAATGATGATAAAAGTCTATGTGTTTGTTTCTACATCAGTACCACACTGTTTTAATTAGTATAACTTTGTAATATAATTTGAAATCAGGAAGTGTGATGCCTCTAACTTTGCTTTTCCCTCTCAAGATTGCTTTGGCTATTTGACGCCTTTTGTGGTTTCATACAAATTTTCTTTTTTCCATTTTTGTGAAAAATACCATAGGAATTTTGGTAGAAATTGTACTGAATCTGTAGATCACTTTGGGTAGTATGGACACTTTTAACAATATCACTTCTTCCAATCCACAAACACAGGATATCTTTACACTTATTTGTGTCTTCTTCAATTTCTTTCATCAATGTTTTACAGTTTTCAGTATACAGGTCTTTCACTTCTTTGGTTAAATTGATTCCTAAGTATTTGGAATTATTTTCTTGATTTCTTTTTCAGATAGATTGTTTTTGGTTTAGATAAGTGCAACTGATTTTTGTATGTCAATTTTGTATCCTGCTACTTTAACAAATCCATTTATTAGTTTTTACACATTTTTGTGAAGCCTTTAGGATTTTCTATATGTATCATGTCATCTGCAAACAAGGATAATTTTACTTCTTCATTTCTGATTTGGATGCCTTTTATTTTTTTCTTGTCTGGACTGCTCTTATTAGTACTTCTAATGCTCTGTTGAATAGAAGTAGTAAGAGTAGGCATCATTGCCTTGTACCAGATCTTAGAATTAAAGCTTTAAGTTTTCTCACATTGATTATGATGTTGGCTGTGGGCTTTTCATATATGGCCTTTATTATATTGAGGCAATTTCCTTCTATACCTATTTTGTTGAGGGTTTAATTATGAACCTCTGGTTCCAGGACTACCCACAGATACTAAAATCCACAGATGTTCAAGTTGGCCCTGTGGAACCTGAAGATACAAAAGTTGGCCCTCAGTATCTGCAGGTTTTGCATCCAGTGAATACAGCATTTTCATCCTCAGTTGGTTGAATTCACAAGTGCGAAACCTGCAGATATGAAGGGCAAACTACTGGCATAAAAACAGACACGTAGACCAGTGGGACAGAATAGACAACCCTGAAATAAACCCACACACATAGGGTCAACTAATTTTCAACAGGCTACCAAGAAGACACAATGGAAAGGATAGTCTTCCTAATTAATGGTGCTGGAAAAACTGAATATCCACGTGCAAACAAGAATAAAACTGGATCCTTATCTTATTCTATACACAAAACTGAACTCAAAATGGATTGAAGACCTAAATGTGAGGAAGACTTGAAACCATAAAATTCCTACAAGAAAATATAGGGGAAAAGCTCCTTGATACTGACTTGGGAATGATATTTTGGCTATCACACCAAAAACTCAGGCAACAAAAGCAGAACTAAACAAGTGGGACTACATCAAACTAAGAAGCTTCTACACAGCAAACAATCAACAAAATGAAAAGGCAGCCTACAGAGTAAGAGAAAATACTGAAAACTGTATATCTAATAACAGGGTACTATCTAGAATATGTAAGGAACTAACACAATTTGACAGCAAAAAATAAATAACCCAATTAAAAAATGGGCAAAGGACCTGAAAAGACATTTCTCCAGAGATGACATAAAAATGGCCAACAGGTATATGAAAAGGTGCTCAACATCACTAGTCATCAGGGAAATTCAAACTAAAACCACAATAAGATATCACCCCATACTTGTTAGGATGACTATTACCAACAAGAGAAAACAAGTGTTGGTGAGGGTGCAGAGAAAAGGCAAACCTTGCACACTATTGGTGGAAATGTAAATTATGTAAATTGGTATAGCCATTATTGAAAACAATTTGGAAGTTCTTCAAAAAATTAAAAATAGAACTACCATATGACCCAGCAATCCCTCTGCTGGGTATACAAGGGTGGTTCAAAAAGTTCATGTAAAGATTCATATTCTCATTTAATTCTATTTTTCTATGAACTTTCTGAAGTACCCTCATATACCCATAGGAAATGAAATCAGCACCACATAGACATATCTGCACTCCCATGCTCATTGCAGCATTATTCACAATAGCTAAGATGAGGAAACAATCTAAGTGTCTATCAATGAATAAATGGATAAAGAAAACATGATATATATACATAACAAAATATTACTGAGCCTTAAAAAGGAGATACAGCCATTTGTTACAACACAGATGAATATGGAGGGCATTACGCTAAGTGAAATAAGCTGGGCATAGGAAAGATACTGCATGATATCCTCTATATGTGAAATTTTAAAAAATTCAAATACATAGAAACAGAGAAACAAGGTGGTTACCAGGGTAAGGAGGGGGAGGAATTGGGGAAATAGGCTAAAGGGTACAAACCTGCAGTTATGTAGGATAAATAATTCTACAGAAACAATGTACAGCATGAGTTAATAACATTGTATTGTATACTGAAAATTTGCTAGAAGAGTANAGATCATAAAAATTTCTAGGTTTAAATTTTAATCACAAGGTATGAAACTCTCCAACTATTCTAAATTTTAGATTTCATAAAGAATTTTAGAAGTAACATACTAAAATTTAGGATCTTGATTACACCTTAATTTTGCTAAATTTTTTAGTCAATACAATCCCTCAACAAACATTTATTAAGTGCCTACCATGGGGAAAGCACCGTGTGCCACATATTAAGTTCAATACTTGCGCATTTTTTAAAGATGACTGTGGAGAATTAAGTCCCTAAAAAGTAAAGATATAGAATAAGTAATAAGATCCTTGGTTTAATTAAGAAAAAACAAAACTGTAACTCTGAATATTGATCACTGATAACATCAGAATGGTGGTGTTATACACAAAACATATAACTTTTAAAAAGTAACTAAAATCGTTAAGGGGACATGGGTTTATAATGGATCAGAAGAACAAGAACTTAATAAATGGTTAACATACTCTAAACGGTTAACATACTTTTCTATTTAACAGTTTTTGCTTCATGTAAATTCTTCCTAGAATGAATCTTGTTCCAATTTTAAACTGTGGCAATATCATGGTATGAGGTTATATAAATACAAAATAATATAATACAGTGATTAAGAGTATAGGCTCTGTAGCCATACTGTTTGGTTCTGGGCTCCACCACTTACCTTTCAGCTAGTTACTTAACTGCACTGTGCCTTAAGATCCTCATATGTAAAATAGTGATAATGATTAAATGATCTCATATATGTAAAAAGGGTTGGAACAGTGGCCTAGCATGTGGAACATATTATACACATGCGCTGCCATTATTATAATTATTTACCCATAAGGCTCTTCAATGTGTCATTCGAAAGAAGAAAANGTAAAATAGTGATAATGATTAAATGATCTCATATATGTAAAAAGGGTTGGAACAGTGGCCTAGCATGTGGAACATATTATACACATGCACTGCCATTATTATAATTATTTACCCATAAGGCTCTTCAATGTGTCATTCGAAAGAAGAAAAACATTTATAGAAATATATGTGAAATCAGAAGTTTTTTCAGTCTGTAGCATTAACTAAAAGTAATTAAAATAAACTTTTATAAATAAATATGCCATGCTAAAAATTCTTTCTCCAATCATTTCTTTAAAATGCCACAAATGAAAGATGACTTAATATAAGGCTTTTCCATTAAAATACTAATAAACTCCATAGTGAATGCACACAATAAAATGGTTATAAGACATCTAGTCACTACCAAATACCAATGTTAAGCAGGAAAATGTTCTGACAATAATCACCTCAATAGCATCATCATACATCTTTCTTGCCTCATGGTCTGTTTTATCTGACATCAACCATGCTTTCAGTAAGTATTCATAAAAACTGTCTCCCAGACCGCCAACTGATGTATGATCTGTGAGAAAAGAGAAGGATAGAGGTGGAGGAAAGAGAAGATAGACAATTTTAAAAAGTAATATTTTTCAACTATAATGACTATATTACAGTTCAATAATATTAAAATTATTTTGACAGCCCTATTTCCATTATACTTCAAATTTAGTCCAATAAGAGTATACTATGATCACTCTCCTCTACACATGTATCCGATTTTCTACACAATCTTGGTCCTCTAGATGTGGTATTTCACATATTTAGTGCTCTTCTTCTTAAACCACATAGTTTGTATACTGTCATAACCCAAACTTTTTCAGAATTAAAAATAATTATCTTTCATATATTAATGGCTTTAAATATATAAGCTATAATTAAATATGAGAGATACATTTAAATCTGATATTAACCAAGAAAAGCTCACTCCTTAGATTGAGTCTGGTGTCATAGACCCTAAATTAAAATAAATCTACAAAGAAAAAAAAGACTAAGAATTCCTTTGTAATATCACCTTCCACAGTATAATTAGCTGTTGAATTGCTACCCTTGATTACTACTTATACAACTATTAGTATATATTTGTTCATCCTAAGTATATTCTTACTCCATTCCATCTATACTTTTAATGATATCCTATTTAGCACAATAGCTCCCAAGGCAACTAAACTCTTTTATCCTGGACTTTCTACAAATCCTGCCCCACATTCTTAAACTTTGTTTCAAAACTCACATTCTCCCTGCTTGAAAAGAAAAACATCATGTTGCTTATAACCCTTCAATCATTTATATAGTATTATCAATGATTTTTTTTTTAATTGTTGTGGAAAGGAACTAGTCAGTGGTTTATGAGAAAAATTGGCTATCTATTTGGGGAAAAATGCATATTAATATTTCTGCCTTTAGCTCACAAAATAAATTTGTAGATGATTAATGATTTAAAAGTAAAACACAAAATTACAAGTATACCAGAAGAAAATACAGGCACATGTCTGGTCTTCCTATGTAAATGATCTTAAGCAAAATATTAAAAAGTAGTCATAAAGGAAAACTTTATAGCTTCATATGACAAAATCTAAAAGACAAGATATTGAATGGGACATACATTATTTGCAACATACATAACAGGAAAAGGGTTAATGCTCTAAACAAAGACCTCTGACAAATAAATAAGGAAAATTGAAATACAGTACACACAATAAAAAAGAAAACATAAATTGGTAACCAACATAAGATACTCTATTCTACTACAGATCAGAGAAAAGCAAATTAAAAAAATGAGATTCTATTTTTTTCTATTAGGTCAGCAAACATTTTAAAAGATTGAAAATATACAATTTTGACAAGATTATTGTTCATGGTTGGCGCAACAGAAGGGCAATTTTGTAGTAGCTATCAAAATTTAACCTAGGACTTCTAGTTCTGGAATTATCCTGTTAACAATGCTTGCAGAAACACTCATACACAAATATAGATGTAAAAAAAAAATTTCATCATAGCATTACATAGCTATATTAGTAAAAAACTAAGGATAACCTGAAATATCTAGGGAAGTGGCTAAGTAAATTATGGTATAAACATATATGGAAGACTATGCAATCTTTAAAAAGAATCAAGTGGATCTATAATCTGACACTGAAGGATATCTATTATAGACTGTTGGGGGGTTAGCAAGTTTCAGAATAATATATTTATACACACACACACACACACATATATATATATAGTTTGATACCACTAAAACTTTATATGTTTAAAGAAATGAGTGTACACATAGAAATAATTTGAAAAGACAACTGTTAAAAGTGTTTACTTCTAAGGAAGGAGCCTTTCAATTTCAACCTCATGTGTTATCTGAATACATGTAAGTTTGGGTAATTAAAAATCATCTTTCGTTGTAGAAAGCAATAAATGGAAAAAAGGGCTATCATTCAACTTAAGCAAAATGTCTGCTAATACTCTAATTCACTCGTACCTTAAACAGCCTGCATCTCAAATGCTCTTATTTCTCGCTTCTTTTTTCTCTAATCATAAGCATACGTGGTGATGAATTTTTACATATACGTACAACAAAACCAAAACCAGGATAGAAATACAGAACATTTCCAGCATCCTAAAAGTCTTCCTCTTGTGGCATTCACATTCAATACCCAACCCCCCAAAATAAGCATTTTTCTGACCTCTATCATCATAGGTTTGTTTTACCAGGGCTTGAACTTCATATAAGATGGCCATTTACTTTCAACTAAGATTTGTCAGCTTAATGATGTTCTCCTTTGTTTTTCATCTAAATATCTAGAGAAAGGACATCTCTGCTTTATGTAGACTTCCTGAGACTCTAACATTTAATGATTGGGTGTTATAGAATACACTTAAGGAATAGAAGACAGGGCTACAATAGGATCCCTTATGCTAAATTTCAGACTGCCGAAAGAAATCCACAATTAAATTTCTAATAGCTTTCAATGCTCATCATATTTACATTTAATATTTTTATAATGATGGTAATATAATGAGTTTACAGGATAAATTACACTTAGATGCTAAATTAATTCTAACAGATTGAAACATTTTATAATCATAAAA